CTTTATCGTGTGTCCATCGGGTGTCAATTTCGGGACATTGTGACAGGGGCTTTAAGGACGTGGAATTAATTTTCACTTTTGTACTGTAGCGTGATACTTAACGAAACATAGACTAATGCAAACCATTTATTGACCTTCCTTACCAAAAGATCAGATCAGCCATGAAACTTTGCCCGTTAAGAGAGGCGGAGAATGAAAATACATCGCAGAAATACCAAGTCAAATATACATTCATTCCTTCAATATAATCCGAGATCTTTTCCGCATTTGATGTTTCTCTTTGTTCTTATTCACCTTTAGAAACGAGCTTTTCGAAGCATCCTCACCTACAAGGATGTTCATGCAACAAACAAAGCTTTCATATTTAATACGTTGTTTATTCACTAATGCATTTCACCGTGTTTGTTGATTTATGTCACATACGACACGTCCTGTACACTGTCCGACAGGATGTGAAGCAAACAAAACCATGCATTATAGATAAGCAATCTCCTTGATGCTTTCACATTATTTATAAATTCCACCCTGTGCTGCTTATTTGATATTTAGAGTTTTCATATGATTAACCACTCACTGGGTCTATTTTCCAAAGCGTGTAAGAAGCCAGTGCATTTGCTTAACTAAATCATTTGGAATTAATAGTGAGCAAAACCCCTGAGATTACATACCCATCTGTTTCTACCTTTACACTGTGCTGAATATATCAATATAAATGTCACACTGTATCTCCACCACATGGCTAAAGAAAGTGGACAATTCAAAATGCATTATTCGTCTCAAGCACTTTATAGTAGCTTATTTCTTTGCCTCTAAACGTTCATTTAAACTAAAGGAAAAGGACTCCTTATGTTCCTTATGTTCCTTATGTTCACAGCGCTTAAGTGGGTACACTCCTACCATGTTAAGAGCATATTGTTAACACACCTCCACCTGTGTTCAAAGAGCCATAACCGCCTGACCTTTTACTCAAGCATTCTGGATTACCCAGGAGCAAGACGATGCATCTCCTACATGGCCACTCAGCGATCTTTGATCTTCTAACCTCCTATACAGTAGCTCCACTTCCCCCCTAAAGCTATATAGCCTAGCAGCATCTGAAGCGGCAGACTTTAAAGTCAAACATCGGTCAGTAGCCATCTCTCAATCCTTAAACAATCATATTTAGATTATTCCACCAATTGTCTCTTGCACTCCTATAAAAGAGTATGAAATATAATGCAGCTTTTTTTGTTCCATACTAAATTCTCTTGTTAAATTGAATTCCCTACAATGTGACTTGTTCACCGATGATTCTGTCAGAGATGTTGGAGAGTTATGCTAGCAGAAGCTATTGTACATCGATACATCAATATAGTATCCTCACTGTATTAGCATGGAGCCAGTAGGACATGTAGATCAACCCCTGATATAGATACCTTTTTTAATGTTGCACTTGCAGTACTTTTTGGCTTTCCAAATTGAAATACAGTCTCTCTCTTAGCATTACACAAATGTAAAATTGATGTGCTGCAAACTTGTGAAACTGAGGATTTATGTCCTCCAGATTGCTCCTCCAGATTGCTATCAGCAGAGTATGACAAGCAGTGAAACTGAGAAAATGGCAAAGCAGTACGACCTGTTGTCTGTGTTGGGATCAGAAGACAAAATAGTTTTTGCTCCGTGCACACGTAAACAACAGCTGTAGCCTTTTAATAAAGACGCGGGTAGCCTTGGTTTTTCCCTGAACTGTTGGTTGTCAGAGGTGTGTGTGTGTGTGTGTGTGTGTGTGTGTGTGTGTGTGTGTGTGTGTGTGTGTGTGTGTGTGTGTGTGTGTGTGTGTGTGTGTGTGTGTGGTGTGTGTGTGTGTGTGTGTGTGTGTGTGTGTGTGTGTGTGTGTGTGTGTGTGTGTGTGTGTGTGTGTGTGTGTGTGTGTGTGTGTGTGTGTGTGTGTACTCAGCCATGGCTGGCGACTGATTGATGGCTGAGCAAGTCCAGGATGCTCTATGGCTGCTACAGATTGGCGCAGCGGAATGCTGGCACCAGAAGCTCTCCAAAACACACATACACACACACACACACACACACACACACACACACACACACACACACACACACACATACATACATTAAGCAGCATATGCTCACACATATTTCATTTGTTTCCCTCAACATCAAACCCAGAATGGGGGGTTGTCGCTCACATGCCCTCCACATCTTGTCGGGGCCTGAACCTGCCAAGTGTCATTTTTAAGTGCCAGGATGTAGCTGTGAACATATGGGGAGGGGGGTTGCATTAACAGGTTGTGTCTAAAACGGAAATACAGTTGCTGCACACATTCATTCTTTACCTTACTAAAATGTAATGTAAACATAAAATACACTACATACTGCATGTGTATTTGGCATACCAAGTCTGTGGGCATGCATTCATGTGAAATGTTTTAAAAGCATCATCTTTGGCCATGTTTAGGTGTGTTGGTAGCACAAAAAGACGGTCATTGTTCTTACTTAAGGCTGCGTGACAATTATAAATGTGCCTGAAAATTCTGCATATATATATATATATATACATTATTAATGTTTTCAAACTATATGAGCAAACATGATGAAGAATGTGAATTGTAAGAAACAAGAGAGATGTCCACCACTGGACCACTCCAATGTTACTTTCTTATTGTGCATGTATTTTAATTAAAAAACTTGTGAGATAAACTTCACTTAAAGCTAGTCATTTTGAATTTGAGCCAATTTCCAACATTACAAAATGATTAACCCAATAGTAGGAAAAGCACATTTATGTAATAAGCCAAAGGCTGATGAACAGGTTTAATACGTTGCCCTTTGCCGGCGGCTAAACACGTTATTATTATTTTTCATCTGATTTATTATTAACATAGCTCAAATAATGATTAAAAACAAAGCAGAGGTGTTGTTTTTCAGGACATGTTTTCAAGCTGAGATCCAATCAAAATGCAGCCTCAGGCTCTCTTGTATCCAAAATGTTCTGTCAAATCTCTTTACAGCTGCATGGGCCGGAGACAGAGATGTGACGACACTATTACTCTGAAAATGCTGTTTCATGTGTGAGTGATTCACTTGCAGCACATTATTGAGACTAATGGCTGAGGAGTAGATGTGGAACAACCAGGACAGACTAAAAGAGACTATTCCAAAAGTGGTATTGAAAAACTGCTAACTAAAGAGCCTCATAATTCAGCAAACCAACCAATGTCTTTTTAATTCACTCACATGATTCAAAACACAGCAAGCTGTTCACCGCCTCGAGCCACGACGGAAACCCACACATCATTTCAGTTCAACTCCAGTTCAGTTGGTCTTGAATGCCTCACAAAAATCCTGCTAACCCACTCGGCAAAGTGCAATAACATCTCAGCGTGGTGCGAGAGTGCCCTGTGCAGGACTTACAGGCAAAGAGGAGATTTCACAGTGTGATACTCCTCCTTTGGCCTTGAGGAGGTGAGGAATGTTCCCGCCTAGCGATGCTTCCCTGCACAGCGTGTCTTGGTTCAAATGGTTCAGTCGTCCGATTTACTGACCCTTTGTCAGTGCGCCCACGCCGAGCCTTATTGGGAACCTGGTCCCATGGTTATGTCTCTGACCTTTGACATTCAAGGTCATCTGTGCATGTAGACATTTGAATCCATGCCTATATTGAGCTTTCACATCCCCAGACGCCATTTTTTTTAATATTTTTGAAATCAGGTACAGATGGCTGCAGTAGCCTTAAGGTTTAAAATGCTTGCTTGTGACTTGAAAAAGCAACTGAGGTCGATCTGGGAGAAAATGTGCAATGATATTCCCTTAACCACGCGAAGGTGCCTTTGAGCTGGCACATACATGCCTCTAATTGGTCCACAGGAGCCGCTCAGTGTCCACCAGAAGGCAGCTGTAGATATATTGCACTGTATGAATGTACCGCCATGGTAGCGGAAGAAGAAAGGAAGTGTTGATGCTCGGCAAAGCACTTACCTCGATAAATAAAGGCAAGAAAAACCGAGTGTAGATAACGCGCGGGGCTAGAGATCAGCTTGATTAAACATCAGCAGATGTTCTCATGGCTTTGTCAGACTCCGCTCAATCTGTCTCCTCGCCTCCTTCCTCGTCCTTTTGTTGCATTTCATCCATTTTAATTCCTGTTATCTCATTTAAACTAATCTGCTCATATTGCAGATAGCGCACCTTTTGATAGGTATCCTATTGATTCCTCTGAGAACAATGGAGGGTCTTCTTCTTTGGACACCTTCTCATTAGCAGTCCACAGTCCCACACACTGCTGAATAATAACACACCAGCCCTGCTGAATGATAGAGCTGAGTGTAATATGATTATGGGCTGTCCCTCTCTGATCTTCACATTTGCAATGTATTGACTTCACTCAGTCTGAGCTGGCTCTTTTTGAAAAACTCTTTAACTATTCACAAGCTCTCCATGGGGAGTGTTTGTAAACTTGATAAGTAAGCAGCATTTTTTAGAAAAGATTCAAAACGTCCTCGGCCCCCAGCTCAAGGCTTAGCACTTTTACCACAGATGCCTATAAGCGAAGCATTTATGACGTTTTCAGGATGAATTTGAGCTTCTTTTGAGGTCATTTTGCACTTCCCAAGGACTTGTTCTCGCTAGTTTTCTTTTTTCTCTGCATTCTGGGGAAGCTGTTTGAGCTGACATCTACTGAATTCTCGCCTTGGGGAGACTTCGCCAGGCCTACGCTGATGGTCTCCGCGGTCCTCACGTCAAAACAGGAGCCTAGACTCAAAAAGAATTATCAAATGGATGCATGTCTTACAGAATAACGATGCATGCTGTCCGGATGCATAAAGCATCACAAGTTGAAGAATACATCTCAAGAAGCCCGGATTCTGTGAGGGTTTTGAAGCCGCGGATGTATCGTTTCTAATTTCGGCAAAGTGCATAAGTACTTTGAGTGTCAGCATAATTCAGAAAGATTTCCAGAAGAGTTCAAAAGATAAGAAAAGTTACCCGAAACAGCCTGATGATGGGAGGAGAAGGAGAGTGTCGAATGAGCGCTATGCTTGTGGATTGTCTTTTTATATGGGGACTGACAGTTTTATATCAAAGCCCCCCATGCTAGAAAATGACGGATCTTTGAAGTAATGTTGAGTTTTGAAAAAGTAATCCTTAACTATAGACTATCTTTTGATGGGATTACACCAGCCCATGGCCCTTTTATCAAAGTCACACCCCCACACTGCCTTTGCCCTTGCTTAGACAACTCTCATATCCAAACTTGGGCTTTATTTTGATCACGACGACACACCTGTAAAGTTATGTGACAGCGACAATAAGAGAAGGGTCAAACATCTTTTGTCTTATGCTCTCTAATCTTTTATATAAGCTGTTTTAATGCTGCTATTTTTAAAAGAATACAATAACACGCATTTATTTTTCTGTTGAATTTAGATGGGGCTTGACACAGCTGAGGAGGAATCGTTTGTGGGAGGCCCAGGAGACACTGCGACCAAGGTAGGAGGAATATGTATTACTGTTATATTTTAAGATGCATGCTTTATTACTTTGTGCTGAACAGTCTGGTCCATTTGCATCGCACAACAGTTCACCTGAGACGCTCCCGGTTCAAGTGCAATGCGGTGCATCTTGTCAGTTTTGCAATTCAGGGTACAAAAGCCTCGAGTGGAATTACCTTACGGGACATCTGTTAAAAATTCTGCGAGGGAGGATCTGTGTTTCAGTCTGAGATGCACTCGGCGGAGCAAATCTCCAGCCGAAGCACGGACACGATGCATAAACAGCTAAGGAAACAGTTATTCTTCAAAGATAGACTTTAAATTGTAATGTTTTCCTTCTGTCCCTGCACTAGCTCTTTTTCTCCAGTTCTGTCACATCCATTTGTATCTGATTTGTGGAAAGCTTCAGTATCAGTTGCGCTTGTACCCTCGCTATCAATCATCTACTGTACAATCAACAGGGAGATTGTCAACACATTGTGGCGTAGACAAATGCCATGTGACAAGAGTGTTTGGATAAAAACTGAGCCGTGTGTCCACACAAAGGATGGGTTTAGTGTCTCGAGCAAGAACTGGAGTCTTATGTTCTAGAGATGTCAAGGATGAATCAGTCATTGTTGAACGGCCATTGACATTTCAACCGGTTTGTAGTTGTCGAAGCACTTTCAAAACAAAGTTATATAGTGGACGTTTGCAATCCAGAGACTCATGTTATAATAACAGTATGTGTTCCTGTTACGCCCAGGCCTAGGGAAACCTAGTTTCTTTGTGACAAATAAGTGCAACAACCCACAAAACAAACACATCTGTGAACACAAAAATCTTGCCTAACAAATAAGAAAATAAACATACAGGACTCTTTCCTACACTGACGTAAAACCAGGAGAAAACGAGAACCAACCAAAAGAAAAAGGGTTTCACACTTTCCAGTAGACTTAAGGCGTGTCCAACAAGGACAGGTTAAAGTTAGTGATGTTACGTATTGCGCCGAGGCTTCGGAGCGTGTGTCGAGTAATCCCCCAAAGCTTTTTGTGAAGCTTGTATCGAGGCTTGTATCGTTTTGGGCCAGTGACGTCATCGATGACAAACGAAGCCTCGCTGCCTGTCGATACCACGTGACTGCTTCAGGAAAGTGATTCAGATCGGTTGAACCGTTGAACCAACAACGCTCATACCCATGGATGTATAATAAGAACCATATTACCCCTCCTGTACCCGGGCCCGGTGACATGATGGAATTAAGAGAGCTCAGACCCTCACTTATATAGACGTCGGAACTGTCATAAGTATAAATAGATACAAGAATAAATAAATGTAGGAATAAAAAAACATGAATAAATAAATGATAAATACAGGAATAATATGGTGCAGTGTTTTCAGTGAGATTTAGTGTGTGTGCTGTGGCTCGAGCACGGGCACCACCTGCTTGCTCACACACACACACACTAAATCTCACACATTTGTTATACTTGAGCAGTTGTTTTCAGCAGCTGGTATGCCTAATATGTTTAATAAAACTAGTGTGATTCATCAGATCAGTGTAACTTTTTAGTTGTTGTTGAAGGTGGCATCCCCTTTTAAAATTGGTTTAACTTTTTATTACGTTTTGATTAGCCCGGCATGTTTCAGTTCAATCTCATTTGTATCCAGGAAAGAAGCCTGGAAGTTGTGCAGCATTATTCGCTATATCAAATCTTGTAAACTTTTTGCAAATCCTTGTTTTATGCATCCCTATTTGCAAAGATCATAATTTAATTCAGTTGCTACAATTGTTTCAGCAGCCCCAAACAAATCAATGGCAGGTAAACAGCTCAAAAATTCCAACCTTTTTATAATTGATCAGATATTTTGAGGCGTGACAATTTTCCAGCAAGCACACTGTGGAACCGTGTCACACCGATAGTGGGAGTCATTTAAATCCACATTAACATACTAAACAACATTATAAACATTAGAATATCTGCTGTTATTTCCTCATGGTTCATTTAAAAGGCATGAATAGAAATAGCTTTAACGAGTAAAGCCTGTAAACACTGCTTGCGAGATTAGAAAAAGAATGCCATATTTATAAAATATCATAAAAGTTGCCCAGTATTTTCATCACAGTCATTTATTATTTAGCTCTTTTAAGATATATTTAGCCTAAACTGTGTCTCAGGGCTTCTTAACATTTAATAAACTATTAATGTTGTATACCCACCTAACGTGGAGAAACTCAGCTAACTGACGATACGAACCATTTTTACCGAAACAAAACACAAGTCTCACAAGAAGCGTCTAAATGAGCCCTGAGCGAAAAAATGCTAACGCACTTAGCACAGAACTCTAGGTATAAACAGTGTTGTGCTAGTTACTGAAAACCAGTAACTAGTTACCATTACTAGTTACTTCATTTCAAAAGTAACTCAGTTACTTTACTAGTTACTTACACCAAAAAAGTATGCGTTACTGTGAAAATTAACGTTTTCGTTACACAGGAAGTATCTACGTACATTTACTCAAGTACTGTACTTAAGTACAGTTCTCATCTCTGTTCGCCTGGCTGTTGACTATATAAAAAAAAACTACGGTAGTAACGCACCATGTAGTAACGGTAAACTGAGTTACTGAATTTAAAAAAGTACTTACTGCGTTAGAGTATCTAGTTACTGCCAAAAATAACGGCGTTACAGTAACGCGTTACTCCCAACACTGGGTATAATACTTTATTACTTATCAGATCTGCACAAACATATATCAGCTAGCAAGCTGAGATTCCACAGGTTCCAGAAATATAAGTATCATCACTGAGCGATCAGAACTCGCGGCATGGGAAGCAAAACCAGACATCACACGACGTAGCTTTATGGAGCAAAATCGGGAAATGTGTCTGACCTTTTGCTGTTTCTGATCAAAAGTTGTGTTCAATGGCATTAAAACGATAACATCGCGGCTGAAGGTGAATCCATAGGTCAATCCAATGTGGTCTTTGTCACTTAGAAATGATTACTGATAATCCATCATTCCATTTTTATGTCAAAAACTTGAGATTTCATATTGCTGCTATGATAGCTACTAGAGAGCATGACAGCTTCCGGTTTTGGGTATTCTGGCTACGCATCACTCTCACTCCTTATTTGGTAACGTGTAGGTGGATTTAGGAACTCCCCCTTGATTCTATTGGCTCTAACGTTTCAACAGAGGTGTCAATCATCAAAATTGACGAGGGGGGCCAGAGATATGGCAAATCCACCCAAATGACCCCAGAAGTGTTTTTTTTTTGCTAAACCTCTCTTAAAAAGGTCAAATATCACTTGTTTTGCATCAATTTTGATACAGGGTACTTATTATATGTTAGGGTTGGATTCCTAAAGCTTTTAGTCTACTATCCCATCATTCAAGGGTGGTTTTCACTATAAGTAATGATTTTTTACTATGTTCAATCTGAATTTACTTCCAACTCACAGGTTTGTCATTGTTTTGAGAAAAAAGATTATTAATTTACCCCTTTTAGAAGTGAAGTGAATTTGTTCTGGGAATATCATTTTTGAGCCTTGGGGCTTAACTGGTTAAAACATGTATTTGAGAGCAGAACTATTGCAGTTACATATGGACGCTTATCAGTGAAGTGATTACATTATGAGTGCAACCAATCACTGCGTTGATGAAAACAAGGAACTAGGGCTGAGATGAAGATAATTATCCTCTCAGTGCACCAACATTTAGAGTTTCTGTGGGTTTATGTTTGTCAAAGCCTGAAGTGATTTGAGTTTGTTTTCTTCCTTGTGTGGCCTTTCCTCAGGGACTGATTAAATGACTAAAATTGGAAGCATTTAAGACGGGTGCCACGATTCCAAAAATATCTGTATTAATTACCAAACAAACATTGATACCATGCAGCCTTTCCCGTCCCATTCATCATGAGATCACACCCGTGACTGGCACACCATTTAAAATTAAATGCAGATTATGATGTAAATGTGTTCAGTGCGGGACTCAGTGACCAGCCAGCAGAACCAATAGGGAAAATCAATACGGCAATTCATCTAAAATTAGCTATCATGAATACTAATGAAAACGCACACTATGATAGATTCTTAAATGCCTTCAGATCAAGGGATTTCAGTTGTGGTGGGTGATAATGAAATGGAAAGTTAGTGTTCATATAGCCTGGTAGGTTGATTTGATTAACCAGATGCTGTGATAGTAAACTAGTTAAACATGTCTCATCAAGCCTGGGGCTAAATTAATTTGCATTGTTTAAATGTGTCAACAGTTTACAGCCTGATTAATGTTAGTATTGATGTGAGTAAAGCACAGGAAACGTGCTTATCTATTGCACTTTGGTTCACCCTCTTCACACTTTCTTATCTTCTCGTGTGTTATGTTCTTTAACATCTTGCCAAAAATAGAGCCAGTGTGAAATAAGTGAGTAGGGGGGATAGACCCTCAGCCTTTAACATGATTCCGTAATTATCTTAGTTTGCCTAAATATAACCGAGTTCCTTTTGAGGACTGGAGTTTATTTTGAAAAGCCGTCAGCAAAATACGATGCATGTTGCTGGACATTCGTAAGAACACCCAAAAAATGAGGAATAACTTCATCACACCAACTTTTGTATAATGATGTGTTGGCCCTTTTGCATTATTTATCAGCGATCATACCAAACTGTTTTCAGATTTTCAGTATTTCCAAAGACGAATAAATCAGAGGTTTTTAATCACAGAATTTTCGATATCCCAATACCATTCACCGTGTTGGTCATTTTGGAGCCTGGACTTTTTCCAATATCCCCCCCAGCTCTCCTCGTCCTCAAACAGTGTTTGCGGGCAGGGCTAGATAAATTAGATTTACTCTGACTTGCATCAGAAGATTGTGATAATTGTGGCTTATTGCACTTTTCTATTCTGTTTTTCTCAGGAACTAACCTGCCTGTGCTCACCTCGCCGTTATTGCCTTCTCGCGGGGCAATTTTTTTTGTATTTGATTTAAGGGTTATAAAAGTTCATAATACAAGT